AAGCACTTGTGCATCTATTTGCTAAAATTGAGTATGCCCTATCAAGGACAAAGAAGTTACCATAAATAGTCAGTAATAAACTGAGTATCAAGAGCATATGATGGATTGTAAAGAGTTACTGCTGACATGCACATTGACTTGTCACACTGGACTGCAGAATATATAGTACTTGGTGGAGTTTACTGCAAAAATATTTCTGTAACGCATTGGACTGATTACACAGTAACAGATTGACCAACAGACTTAAAGATATTTGATTGTTTAATACATCACAGGCTATTTATAAAATAAAGCCTTTTCCTGAGTTAGCTCACAACTAATGAACTAATATCTTGTTGAGGTCAAAGAAGCAATTTACTGAGCTCCATCTAATGGGGAACAATCTGCTTAATTTAGTTCTCCAGCCAGCCCGATTCTGCATAGCTGTCATCCATTGCTGTGGACAGTGACTGTGAGTTGAAAAGTCAGAAAACATGAAGAACATACTGATTTTTTTACAAGAAACTAGGATCCATCAGATATTGAGGATAACGAATGTCTGGGTCATGCAGAGTCACTCAGTAGCCCAGACTCAGAGTCTAGATTTCAGCAGTATTGATTTTTGGTAGAGTCCTTTTTCTAACAGTTGTTGGGGGACAGAGGGACTAAATCTTCCTGAAATTAATTCTACCTGACAGTACACTGGCCAAGGTACACAGGTATGAGTGTTGGGTGTACATCTGGCTCAAATACCTCAACTGCTCTGAGCTGCCTCACATAGGATGCATCCTTCATGTCAATAAATAGTCTAAATATCTCCCAGTTCTGCTGTAGTTTATGTCTCATATTTTAAAGAGACTCCTGAGACTTCTAAGCAAGGAATGGGAGTTGTCACATTTGTTCATATCCATCTTGGTCTTATAACAGCTGTGTTTTCTACTCCTCTGGTTGCTCCCTGGAGGTTTTAATGAGGATCATCAAAGGAAGACACATACTCTGTCTGAGCTCATTTTTTTGCCCTCCCCACTAGTGAGATGTGCTCACTGGGAAGATGTGGGGTGTTCTACAGTGACAGGGAAAAGGCAGAGGGGAAGAATATGGCAAGCAGGAGAGTATCTTGCTGGCTGGGGGCTGACCATGTAACTCCACCAGATTTTGTCATATTCCATCTTTTGTCATTAGGGCCACCCCATCCACTGTGTTTAAAGATTGGGGAATATGCATATGGGGACCATGTGTCTGAGTGAAAAGAAAACTTGCTAATTTGGGAAAGGAGATTTCACCTGGCTATTTTTATGAGAATTCACTTAAGGCTCCATCATCTGAGTGCCTGATTTTTGTAAGAAATTTTTTAAGAAACTAAACTCTTCTCACAGCATGTTTATGAAATGTGAAGGTATCATTATCCTTGCTGAGAAGCCTCTGGGCCAGATGCTGAGAGATGCCTGTACCTAAAGGAAATCAGCAGGATATGTCACTAAGCATCTTTAGGATTCAAAGTCCAAATGCCTGTCCAGGTTGGGAAATCCAGCAAAGTGCCTGAGTTGAACCCATGTAGACTAAGTCTCAACCCAGTGTATTAGCACAATTCATTTTTTTTAACAGAAAAAACTTATTCCCTTAACTCCTTGAACTTCTTGAAAAATTTTGGTAAACATATGTAAACAGTTTATGTAACAACTGAAGCTGTAGTTTCACATTCCCCAATTCATTCAAATCTGGATGTGACATTGTGTATATAGGGATTTGTAGGCACAAAGGATATTATTACTGTTGCCATGTATTGTATTTGCATTGTGATTTTCCTTAAATGTGCAACATTGTTTTGTTAAGCAATCAGAATGCAAATACCACTGGCACAGCCAGAATACATTCAAGTGCCCAAGTACACAAAGAATGCAAACTGTGCAGTAAAGCACACAAAGCCCAACAAGCTCATTAGTACCATACTGCAATGATTACAGAGCAAAGTGCCTTCTGAGGTGCAGTAGTCAGGCTGTACAGAGGGAAGGCTTTGCAGAGTTTTAATGCAATGATATTTTTAATGCAATTGTATGCTGCCACAGTAGTCATATTTCATCAGCATAAGCTGCTCTGGGAAATAGGCACTATTCTCTGTTTGTACCTTGCCTAGGTATCATTCATGATTAGCCATTAGGCACTGCATAATAGTCTTGACGATGAGGATAATTATTATAAGGATAACAAATTATGATCGGCCAAACTACCTCTTCGGCCCCATCTACCTCTGTATCCATTTTCTGATAAAAGTCAGGAGTATATTTTTTAAGCAAAAAAGCATGAGAAAACAGGAGTGAATAGAGTGACTCCTTTCCTGGTATGGCCTTTGAGATTCCAGCAATCATCAGTAAGGATGTGAAAACTGGAACTAGGCTTCATGAGGATCCTCTAGTGGTTTGATTTGCTTCGTGGTCTCTGTTGTAACTTAATGACTCAAAACCAGATAACCAACTGTCTGTTATCAGCATACCCACCTTCAACACCCCTGCCAGTACATTCAAATATATGCATATATACACACACACACACACATATATACACTGTCCTGTATATGCCACCTGCCACTAAAATATGGTGCAAGTCTTCAGTATAGCGATTTGAAAGGTCTAGGGAGAGAAAGGTTAAAGTTTAAAAGGAAAGTCACCATGTGACCATCATGGTGTCAGAAACCATGTCAACCCTTCTTTGAGACAGAGGATGGACTAAATGTCCTCTTGGTACTCTTTCCTGCACTGGTTTTTTTCATGAATCTATGATTATTCAGATGCTATAGCAGACAGAAAGTTCAGTTTTAATTAGTCTGAAATAGGAAAATTGTCTTTAATTCTGCTTGAAAATGCAACACACATAATGTTTCATCTGGTGGAACCAGATGAAGGCCTGTAAAAGTTGTGGTCATGCAAGGACCATAGCTCTTCAATAAGCCCTAGCCATAGCCTAGGAACTGAACAGCCATACATACATCTTCTGGCCATGAGCAGCACAGAGAGAGGCATGATTTATCTTAGCAAAAACATCTCTACATTATTCACTGAACAAAGGTTGTGGGTCTGGTGGACATTTCGGTGGGGCTTCTTTCTGCAATTTAGGGTATTCTTAGCAACTGACCTTAGCAACTGATCTGAGCTTCCTCCTTTGCAGCAGGACCCAAGCAATAAATCAGACTGGTGTTCTGGAAAGAGAGAATTTAAGTATATAGGCAGGGATGGTGGTGAAGCAAACTGCAAAGTGCTCCATTAAACATATCACCTCAATGTCTGCCCTCAGAAATTCACGTCTCCAGGGTGATCTTCTCTTTTGAGAAGTGGTCCTTTTTATAACACAGGAAGCATTAGGTATGCTCATATCTCAGTCAAAGAGTTTCCTACGCAGTGCCAACAGTTATTCAGCAGTACTCATTATGCAGGTGAGCTACATCACAGTGCTGCTACTCTGCAACACTCTGCAGATCTCTATGCACCATGTGCACAATGTCTGAAATATAAGCAAATTTATGCTGCACTCATCCTTTTTGTGGTTATTAGTGTCACTTAGTATCATCTTCCTCCAGCAAATTGACTCACCAAGCAAAATGCACAAGTGCACTTTAAAGCGGATCACATTATCACGCCTACTTCTTCTGGAGAGCCAAGTGTCATTACTACTTTTCACCAGGAATAACTGCCTAAACTGTTTCACATTCTGCAGTGCATCAACAGTGCTCTTCCTCCACTCAGTCTGCAGTTCAGAAGAGTGATGGAACAGTAATGCATGTCTATCTCATTGTTCCACATCTAGTGCTCACTTCATACCTCTTTAAAAGTTAGGGTATTTGTTTCTGGAGTCTTTTCATCAAGATATGCAGCTGTATATCACCTCTAAGGCCCTGATCATATTTCAGGTATCAACAAGGTATTTGTATTAAAATTACTGTGTTTACTCAAGAAGCATATTAGAAGTTTCTCTCTCAACACTACTGATTAGATAACATATCCCAACTGCACAGTTAATTCCACAGTCAGGTGTAGACAATAAGGACTAAAGATGTGCTGCTAGGATTTTACTTCCAAAATTTACTTTCAAATTATTCATTAGCACTCTTTCTTCCTCTGTGTGCATTTTCTAGAAGGTAGATGGAGTATCAAAGAAATACAAGGGTGCAGACTGTTAAATGGTAAGATTATGACTAAAATCATGAACTTGGAACCAGAAATCAGGAAATAACATTTATGAAAGAAGCATTTTGGCTAAGAAACAGAGTGAGAAGAGGTGCTAAGGGTCAGAATTTAGAACAACCAGCAATTTATTAAGCTGAAGAGCAAAGCCAAAGCCCAGTAAAACTCCATATTATACATTAAGAGCTGAGATGAGAAGCTCCCAGTGCTTGAGCTACGGCCACTCAATGTTCAGAGATTAAGATTAAATAAACTAGAAAATAACCAAAGGAATAAAGTTGTATTCAGGAATTACATTCTGCAACCACACATTGAGAGAGCTTCTTATACTTTATTGCTACAGCTGTGTCTACCAAGAATTTTATGTGGGTCACCAGCCTTCTGGTACACTGTCTGTGGTAGCCTGGTGGCTTTTTGCACTTTGCTCAGGAGTCCCTGTCAAGAGGCTGTCAGGAAAACCATCTAAGTAGACACTTGAGCTCAGATCTCTGACTTTTGATGGGACTGACCGAACTTTGTGCTTTTAAAAATCCACCCCTTGTTCTCTACAAAGTGATGGCTTCCCATATGGTCTATTATATTTACAACTATGAGTGTTCATTGTTTTGTGACCTCTTCTCACTCATTATCACTTCACTAAATTTCATGGCAAAAGAAGGGTAATGATTCTTTTTTTCTGCAATTTTAACTAAAATGCTGCCAGAGCACAGGGTACGTGTTGGCCGAGGTTTTATTATGCAACTATACGCAGATCACTGTGAATTGCATCGTCCATCTAGTTCAGTGATGCAGCACCAAGGTCACTGGGCAGATTTAAGCTAATGATGCAACCATAAGTCTAATAAATGTGCTTGGTAACCACAGCAAACATATTGTCATTGTTGCAGATGTTCTTCTTTCAAAAGCACTTGGCAAAAAACTAAAACACAGCCCTTGTGTTTGCTTTGACCTCTCCTAAGAATGCACCATTGGGAACATTGAGGAGATGAGATTGTTTAAGAAGAAAGTCATGCTATTGCTCATAGGACTCTTGCAGCTTGCTTAGAATAAACAGGTAAGAGGCTAACTGAACATGAATCAGTGAAATTTTGATAGAGAGTAGATTTTGGAAAGAAACATATCCATGAGTGATACCAACATAGGTAGAGATGAATTTCTTATTACAATGATCTAGGCAGGTCGACATTATTATGCAGTTGACTTTTGTAGCCATCATGCTCCAGTGACCCATTATGTGCTGATCCAGTAGCCTTTTCTTATCTTTCAGGAAATACATTAACCATGTATCGTGTCACCATAAGCTTTGTCATTATGTGCACTGGTTCCCCACAGGGCTTATCAAATGCTGCAATTGCTGTTTCTTTGGAAGGATATACATCATCTCCCAGGCTTGGTTCAACAGACAGTTGATATTATGCTCTGAAAAGTGGCAATCTACTGTTCAGAACTTGTTGCAGCTCCAGTGTCTTGCACCCTATCATATATGTATCTCTATTTTTACATATGTATATGGATATTTATTCTGATGTACATCATATATTCTTATCTGCCAGGCATGAAGAAGCGCACAATGGTCTGACCACTAAATATGCTCTTTACAATAAGGGTGAAAAAAGAAATTTAAAACAGGCACAATTTCTTCAATTCTTACTTCATTTATACCAATTATTGGTAGGAATAAAGATAAGTAATTCAGCCTTACTGTAAAATTCACTTAAGATCTTTCAGTGAACAGAAAATGCCAATATATGAAAATGGCTGTTTAGCAAGGCACTGAAATAAAGTGGTGGCAAGAGAGGTCTAAATCAAGACAGAGCTCTCTTTTCTCATTTCAAATGACATAGACAACACAGTCATGAAATGAGATCACAGTTTTGTATATAAGCCCTCTGTGGCTTCTGAGCTAAAAAAACTGGAAAAATATTACCCTTTGCTAATGGAGCTTTTTCACCAAGAACCACAGCATGTGCCCAATTCAATGTGTCAGCAACTTTCTGCCCTCAGTTCAGCTTACCAACAGCTAAACCATTCAAGGTCATATTATAACCTATTAGAGATGGCATGTGACAAGATGATTTTTGATAAAGGGTGGAATTTTGGTACTACAGAAATGGCCAGGGAGAGGAGGTTTCCAGATGCAACCTGACATTTTGTCAGCAGCTGCTAGTCAGATAACAAAACATTTTATTGCCCTTGCATAGTCAGCCACATGCTATAGTTTCCTCTCACTCAGAATATGGTCACTTTCATACCCCCCTGCATTTAGCTGCAATAGAACAGCAAAATGTTTACATTACAGCAGAATGCTGCATGCTTTTATCTGAGGGTGACCTTGAGTATGCCTGGAACACAAGAAGTGCAGTGGGAGGCAGTCAAACACTTTTTCTCCTACATCTCTGCCATACTGCCTGTGTCCCACATGACCTTTGTAAATGCCCATTTTTGTATGTGAATGCACATTAAGAACATTTCATGTGCATGCTATGAAGAACAAGAAACCAAAGACAGATTATAAAACTTCACTCTCCAAAACCATAATTATTTTTCCCTTTATGTTCTGAAGCTTATTTGTAAGTTGCATGAATTTTTTTAACTCTTTGGGTTGGGAAGCCTGAATTAAAAATTAGTACATGACCCATTACCGTTTTAGAATTCTCTCTTTTTCAAGTTGAAAGCTACAGTTTGCCAACCTTGTATTTAAACTTTCATGGGAAGATATGAGTGAGTTAAATATGAGTGCCCAAGAAAGAGAAAATACAAGAAAGCTAGATGGTGTTGGGAAAGCCTGTCCAGAGAGTCAGAACAAGAGCTTATTACCAAATATACATGTTTTAAACGTATCTTAGATCAAAATAACACTTTTTTTGGATGAACTAACAGTCTGTGCTAGTGACCATAATATTTTTAGGAAATACACACAAGAATAACATGGTCAAATCATCAGCATGGATATGCTGACCTTCAGAAAGGAGAGCTGGGTAATAATGAGGAATCTTGTTTCAAAGAAGTAGAAGGACATCTAAGACAATTAAACCCTCAGTCAGCACAGAGACTCCTGAAGGACACCATGCTGGGAGCACAGCACCAGCACGTACCACTTTCTGTAAATCCCTTGGGAAAAAGGTAAAAGAAAATTGGCACAGAAAAACAGTAAAGCAAGGGAAATTACTGGAATTAAGATTTTAGCATTCAAAATTATGAAGATGTGTCTCAGTGAAGAAAAGGAAGAAGTTACAAATTCTAAGAAAACAAACATAAAATTATAATTAAACTACCATTTGCTTTGTAAATGTTGTGGCAAAATTTCAAGGTGTTCATTTTCCCTATAGTAATTTGACTTGTCTATGGCCTCAAAAGACAAATTGATGGCTCAATTCACTGCTTCCCCTGCCATTCATATCATGCAGATCAGTATGAGAATAAACATAAAGTGCTGCACAATAGAGCCATTTTATACTTGTTTTAGACAGTAAGAATGATAATAGGAAGTGTAGGACAAAAATGGATCTAAATGTTTCTAAATTACCTTTTCTGAACTCTCCAACTAGTGCAGCCATATGAATCTGTCCCCTTTCAGACATGAGAATGCCATTAATGCATGGTAAATCAAAGTGCCTGATTTTTATATCCATACCCTGCAGTCACTTGACATGTTTATCTGTGCCTTATTACTGTCAAATTTACTCCCTGATACAGCAGGGCCAAATTTTTCATGTTTACAATTGCTGATCTTCCAAATTCACACGATTCCCACTTAGATGGAACTAGATCCTGCCTAATTTAGTTATAGTCACAATTTGCTCCAGGGTCATGCCTCCAATTTGACCTCTCTGTTCCTGTTTTCATAGCCTTGCAATAAAGAAATGGATAAATGCAGTGTTTTCTCCATAAATTAGTTGTGATTTTTTAAGGAATTAGCTAAGTATACATTACATTTTGTTTATTTCTTGTGACCTCTAGTCTGAACTAGTTCTGCTGGAATTCAGTGAAATGAATTCTAGAATGGCTTGCATAGAGTTCTTAAAAAAAAAAAAACCCAAATATGACAGCAATGAGAAATATTTTTACCAAGGGCTCTTGCAACTCAGAGAGTCATTAGCTTGAGGACAAACTGATCACCTAATTTACCTCTGGCCTGAAAAGGATTAGGAATAAAATTACTTTTTTGTATTCTTGAACAAGTTTGCCATACTAAGCTTCTGCCTAAGTGCCTGCAGCATCAGGAACCTCAGTCCCAGAATCACTGGCCCACTGTCTAGGAAGAAAATATTTTGTAAACAATTCAACAAAGAGTTCAAAACAATCAATAGAGGATAATCAGGATCATAAGAATATGCATCAAGAAGAAAGGCACCATAAAACACTGAAGAAATAATCTGCTACCATTTATTTCCCTCTCATTTTCATTTATTTAATCTATTTACTTTTCCTAGCTTTTTCTACACCTACCTTCATTTTACCTTCTACTTCATACTTAGATTTTTTTTATGTTGTGTCTGCACTCATCTGCATTCCTCTTGATGGCTAGTATTTCTAATACTATATTTAAAAATATAATCTTGTGCCTTCTGTACTTTATTGCCATTATATAAATGTTTGGTTCCCCTAAAACTAAAAAAAGCAAATAGATTTTTGAGGGGCAGATAAAATTATGGAGATTTGTATTTTGCCTGTTCAAATACAGTTATTTCAGGAGACATTTTTAGGGGTTGCCTTCACTTTGTTTGGTGCTTTCCTGCAGTTACAGCAGGCAGTGGTTTAGTGAAAATTTTAAAATAGAAAGTTACTGGGCATTAAAAATAGTACAATGGGGTTTTTGACACTAGCACCTCTTAAAAATAAAAAATAAAAAAAAAGACAAAATTCCTAAGTTTCATCTGTTGTATCAGCTTGTTCCTGGCCAATTCTTCAATGCCACAAAACAGGGTCACTCTGTTGTTTTCTGTCTTTTGTCGCAAAAAAAAAAAAAAATCCCAAACCCAAACATATAAATTCTAGATATTAATTAGTAATTATAAAGGATGGCAATCTGTTTTTTAAAACAAATAAATATGCATTTTTGCTTGATTTACTATGTCCATTAAATATTTACATAATTTCATTCTAGCTACTCTCAAGCATATGTATTATATTATAAATACTCAGAACAGGATTTTTATTTTAATTATAATTTATTTCTCTTTTTTTGCACTTTTACTACCTTCTCAATACAATTTCTTTTTTCTTTAAGCTGTAAGACTGTCAAAACACCATTATTTTAAGGCCATCTACCTGTTAGCTTGATTTTTTTATTTCATTATCAGCCATTAGGAAAAAAACAGTAAGTTATAGGACCTAATTTTGTTAGTGGAACTTAATACAACTCTAGGCAATCTGAAAATAAGTAAACAAACCCTCGCACCTCCAACAACCACAAACAGACTGTGAGAAAACTACCAGAAAATACATCTTAGAAAACTGTTAGAAGTGCAAAAAGTCCATAAAGTAAAGCACATGGGTATGCAATCAGGAGCTGCTGTCCTTCCATAGCCAATGCAGACGTAAAAATTTTGGAGGCTGACAAACTGCACCATCCAATAATAAACAGAGCTAACACAGTTCCTGGGGTCCCCCTAGGAGGAAAAAAAACAAAAACAAAAACACAAAAGAAACATGATAGAGTCCACATATTACTAAATGAAGTGAAGCATCAAATCTTACTAAACTCAAGTTCATGTCTAGCAGTATGTCATTGACAGGTAACACCCAATGGAAGAACTAAGAACTGACTGACACAGCAAAAGTCAAGCATTAAAGCAAATTAAAACTATAGCCACAAACAGAAAAGTAGTATGTTCAGCATGGATAAAAGCCTCATCAGAAGTACTGCTAATCTGTACATTTACAAATAAATCTTCTAGGCCTCCAGCAGATGCAGCTGCTAAAGTTTAATATTACACTTAGCCAAGTTTCTATTTCAGCCAAAATCATCTTACAGAAATTGTTAGGTTCTAAAATGACACTACAGACCTGCTCTTCTAACAGAAAGCCTGATCTGGAGGACATGCATTTTTGTAACACAGATAACAGATTTTAAGGGTTCCTTAGACACTCAGGAGAGACTCTGAAAGACTCACACCAGCTGGATGGGCAGAAAGGTCGCCCAGGAAAAAGCTTGACTGGCCTTTTAAAAAAGGGTGCACAGTGAACACAGAGTAAGGAGTGGGAAAAGAACCACCAAGGAAAAATATTTTGCTTACCTTGGCATCCTTCTCTGCACACTGTAACTTTCTACTCTACCTCTTGGTGACAGCTGAGCCCATTTGAAGTTACACTGTGCCCCCTTTCAGGAGCAGGGAGGCCTGGAGAACTGGTGACTATGGGACTATGGTTAAAAGCCCACTGAAATACTCCTGCAGATTACAAAGGGCTCACTATTAAACCCTGTGGGAACAAAAGCCTGCCAATAAATAATGTTTCACATATGCTTTATTTGCACTCTATTTGCAGCCTGCTTCTGTAAAATGCATGAGATCATGTGCATAATACACTGCTGAAGCACATAATGAGATAGATACTTTATACACTTTTGCTGTGTCAATCTCAAGGACTTTGAAAAAGAATATATCTCTGCCACTTCCTAAAGGCCTTCCTGGCACCCCACTCTTCCAAAGCATCAGCATAACAGAAGCACAAGGGAAAAACAGGGTGTGTATACATACTCAGGTGGGTAATTTTATCAGAAATTATCTCCACTAATATAATTATTAGTGATGAATAAAGCTGTCCTTATGTAATTGACTTAGTTTACTTAATGCATTCACATCACATAAAATAGTTGACTTCATAGCAATGCAGCCACCAGGCCAATAAGGTACTTGGTGTTGCCAGCTCTTGGGACTTTGAAGGAAGAAGGAAAGAACCGATTTCACGGTGACTCAGCACCTCATTGCAACTTCAACAAGTTAAAAATAAAACATTAAAGACCATGTGATTTAATATCCTCCATTTAGCTGTTTTTTAAACCAATATAGTGGCATTTAGGGAAATTCCACTGGGCTTTGCAAAGTAAGTACTCTCCTCTAAGGTGATGCTAAGTTGCTCACCTAAACAGTAAGCCAGAAACTCAGAGCTGGTACCCTTGCTGGCAGAGGGATGGGATGCAATAGGAACATCCTGTGCAATGACAATTTTCAGCTAACATAATGACACTTTGTCACAATGTGGCACAATTTAGAGCTGTAGCTGCTCTAAATTGTGGCTGCACTGAAGTCCAATAGCCTCTCATGGTTTGTTCCAGGACTAGCAGAGAGCAGGATGGAAAGATGGCATAAAAATCATGTAAGAATCAAGAGGTACCTCTGTGCACTTACAAATTCAGTCCTCAATCTAACAATGTATTACTGTTAAAAAGAATGGTTTGGCAGAGAGCTTTCTGTCTCACATGTCCATGAGGGTCAAATCCTCTAGATAGGAGAAGGACAAAAAGCATAAGTCATGCTTACACTGACCAAGAGGACTGGGGATGTACTGGTGTGAGATTGAGATGGAGGGACACATATAAGTGGACCCTTTCCACATCTCTTTTTCTCAGATCCTGCAGATGCTGTCACCAAATGGATCCTTTGCATCAGCTGGGTGTAAGAATTTCTTTCTTCATGCTTACATTCATTTCCTTCACTCTTTAGTTTGGGGATTTGATATTAAAGAATTGTTGCTATCTGCAGGAAAAAGTCTACTGAGGTTTCTCCCAGAAAGATGGCCTAATAAACTTGTGCTCATACATGGAAACAGCATAGATGGGCACAAACAAATCTAGTTCCATGGAAATTTGAGTAAGAGAACTAGTGTTCTTGGTACTATTCAGTACCCCAAATGTTCCATATTTTGCTTTATTTATATAGAAGGAAATAGCTAATCATGAAAATTAAAAATTATTCGGTTACTATGTATCTTTGCCATATATGAATGCATTATCTTATGTATACTTGTGGTGAAAAAAAATTCAGATTATTTCTTTGAACTTTGAAATAGAAGTAATGTTTTTTATAAATATTTTTAAAACCATAAATGTATTGTTCTTTCTTTTACCATTTAAAGTATTTTTAAAAATTAAAAATAATGAAATGTATGTTGAATTTTAAAGTTGCCACTTAATTTTAATAGCCTGTTTGCAATAATTGACCTTAGTACTGGATGTGTTCAAACAGTTTCATATACCAAATGAGAAAAGACTGCAGAACCCTGTCAATAGGTACTTAATGTTAGTGATTCATTTTAGAAATACCAGTGCAATTTTGTCAAGGCTATCACATTTTAGTGTTTATAGATTTTCAAAAGATGTGCTTTCTGTAAATTCACAGCATTTTACAAACATGTAGTGCCTGCCTGGGGATTCCATGTACAGAAAACAGTACCCTGCACAGTTGTAACAGCTGGTTTGGAATTCACCCCATCTGTCTTATGATTATGTATCTGCACATTTTATTAGGCTGGATTATTAAACAGGTTAATCAAGAAAATATGGGAAGTGTAGGAGAACAGAGAATAAACAGCTTCTTTAGTGTCATCATCCATCTTACCAAAGACAGCTCAGAAACACTTTAATAGATTGAATATGGTCAGATTAAGCCATCAGAGCTCCACAGAAACATGCAACAAGAATTTTGCCAAAATTTAATTCCACCATATAAATTCCTTAATAAATATATATACACACATGTAAAATGATACTTTTCTGAAGAAAACAAACAGGGGCACTTTCTCATTCATCAGCTGCTAGGTTCCGTATGTTACAGATTGGAAAGTTAAAAATATGAGAGAACAAAAAAGACTAAGAAGGGAAACCATAATTAATAACATGCTAATGATAGGCAAAAGCACTGCTCAAGGCCTTCAGGCAAGATCTGGAACTTGCTTGAACTTTGCTGAGTGTGAACAGGGAGATAAACATTATGCTTCAAAGGGCTTACTGAACAAGGAGGAATGAGAGGCTTGCCAAGAAGTTTCCTATTCGGAGAATATGACTGAACAACCCCCCACATGTGCACAGATACATACACCACTACACATTTGGTTTTTCAAATTCACTTATTTTCAGGTCTGCAATTGCACCATAACTATACCTCATAATATAGAAGTCTACTGTATCTTAAACACTTGTCTGAATTCTCCACATCATTACAGGCAACTTGGCTATTTCATTCTGTCCCAAAGAAGTCAGTAGGAAAAGAAACATAAAGATGGGAGGCCTGATGCTATGGAGAAAAAAGAAGCAAGAGAACCACCAAAATTCAGCAATTGCTTTTAAAATTGATGCCTGAATTTGGCCACTGTTCCCTCTACAAAACAAAAATCACAACTGAGGCATCTGCAAAAATCAGAAGCCCTCTCAGTCCAAATGCAAAGCAGTGTAATCAAAGACTCATATCAAAATTAACATTTACCAGCCCTCTCAAACACAGTCCAGTTTTGTCTTTTTCCACCTATGTGTACAACCAAAATGGTGTTACAGTTTCAGAAGCCAAAATTTACTACGCGACCAAAGTTTTGCACAACACCAGCCACCTGACTTACTGTCCTTCACAGGACTCCTACTGCCATAGGCTGGTACTTACTGGAGTGAGAAGACAACTGCAGAGGAGGACAGGATGACCATGGGCAGCAGGCAGTAGCCCAGGACACTCGCGACGCAGCCGTGCGAGACTCCTGAGACGCTCATCAGGTTCAGCAGCGCGTGCATGGCAAGGCACCCGATGGCACTCATCCCATACACGTAGCCAAAATGAACTTTTCCTGCCTAGAAAAAAATATGAGGAAGCATAAGGTGACAGAAGTGAGCAGTAAGCACTAAGTGCTAGCAGAAGACAGATTTAGGTCGAAGTTTGTTGCTTGCTGTTGTTGACAATCCCTCTCTGCTTCACCTGCATCAGTTCAGTTGCGAACCACAGATGATACTTCTGGTGATTTTTGCCTAAAAATGATTCCAAGGTGCAATTGACAAAACGTGTTTGCCGCTAACTTAAAGTTACAAGGCTGATCCTCAGTCTTACTTTCACTGGGCTCTGAACACAACTGGAATTGGTTGGGAGACTTAGGAGAGTTTAACTGGCAAAAAAAGATGAAATTATGGAAAACACATTTTAGACATTAAAAATCAGTTTAGGCTCAGGAAACATCTTTTCAATAAGTGTATATGGGGCTGTGAAAAAGTGTCCTAAGTAATATGATGATCCAGGTTACCTGATATGCTTCACATTTTAATATAAACAATGAGCTATAAGCAGGTCTGCAAAAAATTGGGAAAAGTTTTCTTAAAATATGGTGGTTTTCAGGGCAAATGTGATTGTCTTTTCCCTTGACTACCATGAAAAAGATACATTTATGTGCTTAGACCAATACAACATGTTCATTTCAACATAAAACTCAGCAGTAACTGTCAGCTTATGTTCTTTTTTTGTTCTAACAAATGAAAAAAATACCAGATTTTTTTCCTTCTAGGTTTTATTCTTTGTTTGAATTTATTGCCTATGAAAGGTACTAGCCTAGCAACGAGGAGCTTGATGTTTTCTGATTTTTACACAAAGATAGTAAAACAGGCAACTGTGGCCACAGCACCACTAGCTCCATCTCCTGCCATAATTTTGAAGGATCCCTCCAGGCATAAGGGCATTGCTCACTCCCCAGAATAAACAGCCACAAAAGAATGTTAAATATGTTTTTCTCTCTCTTCGAGCTTCTTACAAATTAAATGCTGAAAGCTGGCTGTGCAATACTGTCATTTTCACATCTATACATCAGAAAAACATTCATGAATCAGAACTCTGTTTTTTTCTTGGAACTTTGTATCCTAATGACAGAATGAAGCTGTGAAAGAGAAAGTTCAGACCTGGAACTTAACCATTAACTCATAACAATGGAGTAAACTTCTCAAATGCATCTCACTATGCATCACCTTCCTGACATGTAGTAAGGTATATGTACATACATAAAACACAAGTGTGTTTGTTCATACACACACATACACACAATCTACATGTTGCACAGACTATATATATATATATATATATATATATATATATATATATATATATATAAAATATGATAAACCACATAAGACACAAAACAGATGGTCTCAGTTTCCTAATAATGTATGCTGTGGCTTGTGGTTGGATTCTGTTGTGATGGATTAGGTGGAAACATTGTTGAAGCTTTTATTTTTTTTTTTTTATTATTATGTTTAGTGCTACTTGCTAGTTTATCTCCCATGATGGCTAAGGAGGATTGAGAAAACATCTGACTTTATTTATCCATACATTTTAATGAAATCTGGAGGAAATCAACTTTGAGGACCCTTCCTTGCCCTCTCTTCCTGTATCCATGCATGTGGAAATTGGTCACTGGATGCCAGCAGTATTGGAGCTCGACAGACATAAAGCAATGGTATGGAGAAGGCCTAGTGATGACACAGTTTCAAAGTCCTGATGCTGCAGGTTGGTGCAGCTCACCAACTCTTGTTGGGAGCAGTGCATGAACATGAAAGGCAATCTGAGTTAATATTACCTGACTTTACACCAGCACCATTATCCTGTCTGCACACTGACCTGGCTCACTGCTGAGCTCTCCTCTGCTGCCAGTCCTCAAGGTTGAGTCAGGTACAGCCAGGTTGCCTATATCCTTCCAGCATCCTGACCTTTTCCCCATTACTGTCTTCTACCATAAAGAATAATCTATTCCTGAAATCACAGCATAAGAAATCTTCCTACTTAGGTACAGACTTTTTTTGCTGGCATTTGCATACTAGTGGTATAAAATAATCAGGAAAAATTGCTTGTACAATGATAGCTATAGATAGTGTGGGAGAGGAAAACTAGCTCAGATCATCAACTAGAATTTCAGTCATTCAGGATATATATATATACACAATATATCATATTGTGAATACATTCACAATATATCACATATATATATTCACAATATATCATATATATATTTTCACAATGGTTTGGGACAACCTTTGCTATACACCAACTACATACATTTCTGATTTAAAGCAGATCCATCAACTACAAGTTATATTTTAGACTGTTTGTTTCAGTGTCTATAACTGTTCTACACAGCACTATTTATTTATTAGCTTAGTTTAAGATTTAAAAATTCCTGAGCCAGAGATGAAATGAGCACTAGCACCAGCAGCAAGCTGAGATCTCCAGTTGGTGAAATGCTGGATTTGTGGGGCAAGGATACGAGAGAAGAAAAATATAAGGCAGCTGAACACGTTGGTTCCAATTTTATTCTTATTTAACATATGTAAATATACTGACTCACATACATGGGGATACTCCCAGTCCACAGTGATGTAAGCAAAACTAGAATCAGGCTTGATTAGTCTGACAGGCTTTGATGAATGAGCTAAATTTGTCCTACGGAAGGAGCAAGGTTAGCAGAAAGTCAGACGTTGTGTTCTTGCTTGCATCTGCTTGAAGTGGGTACTACTACCTTTGCCTGAAGTGGATGGGGAAGGCTAATTCCATACAAATGACAGTGTAAAATGCAAAGCAGCTGAGACTTGGACTTCTGCTAAATTTTGGGCTGCCATTTTTTCTCTATCTGCAATGGAGCTGCCCTGTTTTACACTAACCTGAGGAAGAATAAATCTGCTGCCTGGATAGCAGCCCTTTCCTCTTTTTCTCTGAAAGGACTACTACCCTTTGAAGAATATATTTGAATAATTTTCCATAGTTAAAAAGCTGAAACTAAAGAAAATGTATGCATTATTTTTAGAAACAAGCTCTCAACCAAATCATGTTCCTAGTGCTATCAGAAGATACTTTTTAAGTACAGAAGGATATCATAGTTTTCACAGCTGAAGAGACATCTTAGTATTCGAATATATCTGAGATATAATGGTAGCCTAAATTTCTAAGATAAACCCAAAGGCTTGCTGCTGGGAAGTTATGGAACAAAACATTGGATTGTGTCACAGGTGTTCTGCTGCCCTAAAACTGGAGCATTGAAAGTACTTGGTTTTCTAATGACACTTAAGATGCATAATAGCTCAGTAAAAATATGATAATTAATGTAATTAATTTCAATAATAACAGTTTCATATTCATTAAAACTGTTGGCTATTCAGAGAGAAAAGTCAACAGGAAACATTTTTTCCATTCTTTCTTTTAGCTTTCCTTTCATTTTCTTGATTATAATTAATTCAACTTTCTCTTTTTAGTACCCCCATGCATTTATTTCTCCAGGTGTAAAACACAACGTCTTCTCTAGCTTTCCACCTTCTTTTCCTTTTATTCCCTTTCCTCCTGCCCCTTCCACCCTTTTAAAAGATTTTCATTTTTATAGGAACATAAATAATAATACTACTTGCCATTTATATAGCAGTTTGCACATTCAAGGTACTGCACTGACATTACAAATTGAGTAAGAACTTTCAAGAATCTCCTGATTCAGCACTATTTATCACAGAGGAAATGGAGAATTAGAGCCCCTTTCCTCTCACCTCAGTTGCAGGGCAGTAAAGCCCTTCCCAGAATGGTCCCACCTTACTGCTGTCTGATGAATTGCTGTTGGCAGTCAGAGCTGTACTTCAGCAACACTGGAGAGCCCGTGTTGCCAGGGATATATAGATGAATTTGGAGTTCTGTACAACCCTGTTAAACTTTCCTCCTGTAGGAAAGCTATATTCATAAAGAAGAAGGGGGTCAAATACAGGCTACTATATTTTGTTAAGCAGAAAAACCAGAACAAAGAATACAAAATAAGAAAGTACTAGCAAAATTTATAGGAAGGTATTGCAAATTTAAGGGGGTGGGTGGAAAAAGACTGTTTCCATTTCTTTTTTCTCTAATTATTCTAGTTGTATAAAGATTTTTTTTTAGTCTGTCTCTACACTCTCTAAAATAACATTGAAAGAAGATAATTCCAAAAAAGTAGCAAGGGCTGGCCTGCCCTTTTTATTCCCTCCTTTAAAACTTGTTCAGAGCCTCTCACAAATCTGTCCTTTTTTACGTATTAAATCCCACCCCAAAAATGGTGTGGTCTCTCTTTCCACTGGAAGTAATACATCACTTTACCCGTGTCACTTTTACATTACATTTAAATTTTAAGCAGTTTCTTTCAAAGTAGGAAGAATTTTTAACACATAATCCCAGAACAACTGGCAGGAAATTACTCTTTTTATGCTGGTACTTCATCTTCTGCAGCTTCACACTCATTATCACCTAGGCATGAGCTTGTTAGAAAATAAATCCCTGAAGATTTCTACAACATCCTACCATCAGCAATGTTGCTCCAAGGGCCAAACAGAAAACCATAGGTCCAGTGAGGTCTGTCTCATTCATAATGCTGCCATCTGCAGGCTTCATTGGGTTTAGAACGGTTAATGTTTTCTGCCATATATGCTCAAAATTGATCCCAAGTTCTGCAACAAGAAATTTCAGGATTTTGTTAATTGCTCACAAGAAAACAACACTTTTACAAAAATCCATTAGATAGCTCAAAACTACATACAAACGCTTCAGTGAAAATAATATTGTAGGATGACATATTCTATAGTAGAAACATAATGTCCCTGCTATATACTCAGTATATTTGAGAATCAGCTTTCATTCTAAATTGGAATATTAATCTATTAAACAGAATGTTAGTCAGTGAAGCAAAAAATGGCCTCAGCATTTTTGAGTTAATATTTGTTTTTCCTGTATTTAAAACCCACATATCTAATGCCACACTAACATAGATGTTGAAAAAGACATTAGTTAACAATAACTGCAGAATTTAAGATACTCTGCAACACTGAGGACAGAGATATATGCTCTAATTCTGGAAAATTTGACAAGAAATGTGTCTTAAGCCTGAACAGCCAAAAGCACTTAAAAATGACATTTGTTCCTTCAAGGCAAGTTTATACTACTTTATACAGTTCTTTATAAGCTTGGGGTTTTTTTGTTTGGTTGTTTTTTGGGTTTTTTTGGGGTTTGGGTTTGTTTGTTTGGTTGGTTGTTGTTGTTGTTGTTTTTTGGGGTGGGGATATTTGCATTTGAAAAGTAATTAGTGGGACCCCTTGAAAAATAACAGAATTCTGTCCCATTAAAGGTCATGGGAATCCTGCCATTAACTTGTATCTTCTGGAGAAACATTTCAGCTTGCACAAGTAATCATCTTCCCTGAGATTCTCCAGTAAGGGCAAAGTCAGCTTCAGATTTGCTGCCAGAATGGCTGAGACTGCCAATGTGTTAGATCTATTGGGAAAGCCAAGCCTTTACCTCGTTCCACCTCTCCATCATCTTGAGCTCAGTCAAAATATTGTATATATGAAGCTATTCTGCATTAAAATGTGTGGTTTTGCTCAGATTTATATGGTACACAGATAGGAATATCTTTGAAGTCTTGCAAATCACAAGCAGTTGTATTACAACATCCTTCTCCCAGGGTGAGCCACACAGGGAGGTAAATGGTTGGAGGTCTTAGAGGTAGAGATCTGGCAGTTACCTACATGAAATAGAATAATCTTGCTAGCTTTAAGGCAGTAGTCCCTTTTGAGTAGTAAAAACTCCAGCTGCCTTCCAGTATGCCAAACTAACAGACTGAATATGCTTGTTTTCTATTATGCTGAAACAATTACAGACAAATTATCCATTTTTTAAAAATATAGCACAAGTATTTTGCTAGTAACAAAATCAGCCACTAGTATTAGAATGGTTACTCATCATGAAGAACGACATTGCTCATATAGTTAAATGATCAACTAATTGAAACTGAAAGCAGATTTCTCAATTCCTTTCCCATTGAAACAAATGACTTAGCATCTGCAAACTACTAAATCTATTACTAGATATGCAAAAGAAAGATGATTACCCATCTTCATTAGTTATAGATTTTCTAATATGTACAGAGGATAAACACAAGCGTGGAAACAATTTTGGAAACGTGAATGCAAAACTATTGTTCTGCTGCTATCTAGTGGTGGTACCATATATCTGCTCTAGTCCACAGGCTGGATGGATCCATGGCGAATTTGAAGGAGAAAAAGCAGGTTTGACTGCCAGGAGCTTTGGCTGAAGCTCTCACGGCGAGGCTTGCCAGCTCTGCTGCAGTTTCTCTAGAGAGTTCCATTAGCTGGCAGAGAAAAGTTAGAGGCAGCCCCAGGAATCCTGCATGTTGTCTGTGGGATTAATTTTGTTATAGATACATATTACAATATTGGCTTTGTGCAAATATTAAAATGGATTTTATATGTGTATTGTTAAAGTAACTTTGTTATAAAGTTTTTATTTCTGTTGTTAATTAAACTTAGACATAGTAATGAAATAGCTGATATAAGTATACTTGTGTTAAAATACCTGCTTGGATGAGATAACACCCAATGAACATATGAAGAAAACACCTGCTACAGACAGGCCAACTATCAGCAATCACCATGTGAAGACAGTGTGAACAGAGACAAAACTAAAGAAAATGATAAAAAAAAAGACTAAAAGCACAACCAAAGAATCACATGCTCTAAAAAGGCAAATCCAAACAGGAGATAAGAGAAACAATTCTTAGAACATGTAAACTAGGTTGCATAAGAGTCTGTGAATATACAACAGGCCGATGTAAGGAAAAAGGTATTTTCAGGGTCTCCCTGAAGATAAGTGTGCTCTTGGCTGAGTGCCCAGATGCAGCCGGCCGTAATAACCTTTGCTCTATGGTCCTTGTTTCCTATTGTCCTTTATTAAACATTTTCATTTTCACAAGAGAGTGAACATGTTTTTCACAGTTTTACCTTCTAGCAGAGGGGGTTCCTCATCAAATCCGTCAACATAACCAAGCTGAGAAGGAGTGTCAGGACTGTACGCTGGCTGCAAAATCTGACCCGAGTAGCTCTGAGAGGACGGAAGCATGTCTGATGGGACAAAAGCTGTGCCTGCATGCTGCTTTTCTGCCTGGCTCCTGGGACAAGAAACAAAGCACAACCAAACCCATAACTACAGTGAGAAACATCTTGGAGCTACTCACCACGTTCCACCTACTTTTCACCTATTTTCAGTTTGGGGAACCTGGAATTTTTCTGGGCATGATCCTTGCTGTGGGTAACAAGAGCTGAGCTGCCGACTGTGCCTTTGCAGCCCCCTCTGCAAGCGGGCAGAGCTCCTTGCCAGCCTGCCGAACCCTGCAGCCCACCACAGCCACTGCCACACACTTCTGGCTTTTCTGCCCAGCAGCCTGGTGACACTCCTCAGATACATCCATATCAAAGAGTCACACATTTAGATTTTTCCCCTTGAATCTCAGAATTTCCTGCAATACGCACCCTAAATTTCACATTAATAACATGAAGCTCAGTAACTCCTGTCAGGTAAACAACCTATAACACCTAGGCTAATAAGAGTAGCACAAAATCAAATCCTTTAAAAAGAAAAATTCACTTATAAGCATTCTCACTTTCTGAAAGTATAGATGATGTTTTGAACTTCTTTCCTGCTCCTGCAAGCCCCAAAGCCAGCCCCAGAACCACCATCTGTTGAGGAGGGAAGCTGAAGCAACACCCACACTTACTTTCTGCTTTCACAGAGGTTTTTGCCTGAGCCATAGCTGTTGCAACCTTCTTCCTGGTCCTCTATGGTATAATTAGACTGGTAAAAGTCGACGTGAAACTGCTCAAAACTTGACATTCTGATTGGAAAAATGATTGCAAATATCAATAAATAGCCTTTACAACAAGCCAAAACCTACATTTTAAACTGCCCTAAACTTAAATTAAAATAGCAAACTGTAAAGCCCTAAACTCAAGAGAATTTTTTTGTAGAAGCTCATGATAATTTGGAAGTGACAAAAATGTTTTTTAAAACATTTCATTACTTCATTTTCCTACTTTCAATAAAAAAAATCTTGTCCATATCTCAATGTTTAAAAACTAAGGTTTTAGGAAGCACTTTGGATTTCAAAAACAATTAATAGCTATTTATGTTTTGCAATACTATATATGATTTTCACAAAACAATAGGAAAAAAAACGAGATTTGTTTACAAAATCTGTGATTTCTGTTCAACGACACAGCTGACACATCAGTGGTAACAGAGAAACATTCTCCCTGGCCAGCAACATGACTGGTAAAAGACAGCACACTGAATGAATTGGATTGATGAGTGGATGATTCCTTGGTGAAAAGGTATGCTAAAATATATCTTTCCTTCCTACTGCATGTGTTTCACCGTTTGGCTAGCACTTATGTAGTTAAACTCTTAAAATCCACCAAGAAGTTACATAACCTGACTGATAACCGTAGCCATATCCAACTTAGATTTTCATGTGAGATATTAATCTCTCCTAATATTTCCCTTTGTTTTTTTCACTTTTGTCCTCATTTCCAACATTCCAAATGCCATTGGCAAAATATGCTTTGGACCTTGCAGTTATTCTTAGAGTTATCTCAATATTTATCAAGCACACTCTGCTTATGGGAAAGATTTTTGCAAATCTCTGTAAGATAAAAGTGATAAAGATTACTATTTCATCAGGGACCTTAAAATGCTGCGTGTTAGAATTTCTGATTTTTTTTCTCATTATCAGTCTAATCTTTGGGGATCTATTTCCTTATTTTACCTAGAGTTCAAAGCAGAAATTGCTGTTATATTATTTTCCTAACTGCTTATCAATTGTGCAGGTTTTCCAAATAATTTTTATATTTCAAACAGCCATCTTTAGTTGCCAATTCTACCTCAATAGTTCAATTCCAGTAAGTATTTAATGTCCTTTGCTGTCACTATACAGAATGAAATAATTTCTTAACCAGTTATAGTTAAGTCTGTATAACAGAGTTCAGAAAAGATAAAATTACTTCCCAAAAGAATTTGGAGTTAAAGTTACTTACATTTTAAAGTATTTGGTGAAAACTCCAGTCTGTTGAATTTATATGTTGGAGAAGACCTAAAATATCCGCTTGCTTCAACAGGGATGAGCTTAGTGCTATTTATAAGATTCTAAATTTGATATTTGAACAGATGCACATGAAGGAAAAAAAACCTCACAACCTGTCAATATCAGGGCCAGCATTTAACAAGAGCTAACAACAATGGGCAGAGCAGGGTAGGAACCTTCAAGGAAAAATGAACAAAATGAACAAATACTGTTCCTTATATTTCAACTCAAGAATCTAGATTCCCTCTTAAGTAAATATTTATGATCTTGGTGGAGCCCTCATTAGCAGAGCTGCTGGCCATTAAAAAGTGTAATAGTACCTACTAAAGTAGTGGGGTGAATACACTTATGTGAGGGTGTTTCCAGCAGCCAGAGACCAAGAATGGCTGTGGGATGCTCCCAGGCAACCCCACGGCAGAAGGCAGGAGGGAGGCTGAAAGCCCTGCTGGGCCAGGTCCCTCTGCTGGTCCTGTGTCATTGTCCTGTGCCAGGCACATCCCCCTGCCCCATTGCTCCTTGTTCTCCAGGCACATCCCCCTGCCCCATTGCTCCTTGTTCTCCAGGCCCATCCCCCTGTCCATTGCTCCTTGTTCTCCAGGCACATCCCCCTGTCCATTGCTCCTTGTTCTCCAGGCTCATCCCCCTGTCCATTGCTCCTTGTTCTCCAGGCACATGCCCCTGTCCATTGCTCCTTGTTCTCCAGGCACATCCCCCTGCCCCATTGCTCCTTGTTCTCCAGGCACATCCCCCTGTCCATTGCTCCTTGTTCTCCAGGCACATGCCTGTGCCCCATTGCTCCTCCAGGAGCTCTATCTGTTTGCAAAGCTGTCTCTTGAAGTGCAGTACCCACCATTCCAGGATCAGTGCAAGGAACCTCTGTTCCATAGTCCTGGCTTGTAGGAAACAGCAGCACAGGATGGATTTTAAAATAGATTTCAAACTTCAAGGGTGACTTTTCAATTTACACCTGCTTTTGTTTGACATACTTGACTAGCCACAACAAAGGCTGCTTTTTTCATTTCTTTATTTATTGGATAGTTTCCCAATAAGTGCTTGGGCTGTTAAATTTAAGGAACTAAATTATATGTATTATCAGGAAATAAATCTATGCCTCAGCTGCATATTCAGTTTTGTGATGTTGAAGGACAAATATTTCCACTTCATTAGCAGAAAAATGATGAACTGTTAGCACAACTTACATGTTATGGAAGAGTTATAAGAGAGTTGTATTTTAAAATAACTTATAATGAAAATTACCAAGTTTTTTCTCAGTAACTATGTCCAAGAAATAGATCAGAAATAAAGACTGGTGAGAAGAAGAGAAATGTAATATTTGATTACAAAAATTAAGGGTAATCTAACTACAGTATTGATCACAGCTATTGTTAACTCTTCCTCATGTTCTGCTACTTCTAGAGTAACAGTTCATGCTGCTATGTCCACCAAGGTAAAGATTCATTTTCAACTCTTAGCAAACTGCTAACCTCTATAATGTCTAATCACCTCAGTATAGATAATATAGCTTCATCTTGTTTATACTGAATCAGAGGGGGCAATGAGATAGGACTAACTTCTGCCCCCAGGAAGATAATTCAAAAATATTTTTTTAGGAACAGAAAAATCTTGATTTTTTTGGTTTGCCTGTTTATTTAAACTATAGAAGTGATTTGGTTACTTCGGCTAGTTTCTGTTAGAAATAGAAATGTATCTATACAAAAATTGGGAATAATTATCAGACAAAAAAATTCAGAGAAGGAATTTAAATAGAAAAAATATAACAAAGAGTAGTTGAATGTGGTCAAATAATACTTAATAGCTATTTAATAGCCACAGTTAGACAAGAAACCTGTAAATTATAAAAAAAGAAAAAAAAAAGGAACTTAAAATTGAGCCATATCTATTTATCTCCTTATATAAAATTATTATATAACTTATATATAATACATAAATTATACACATATATTACATTAATATCCCTGCGGATATACACATATAAATGGACACACAAAATACAAAAATAGAAAATAATATTAGTTGGAAATGAGAAATAGATGATCAAAAAATAAAAATAAGGCAAGTGTAAGTAGTTGATAGGAAAGTGACAGATAGAAATAAGGACTGCCCATGCACATTAAAAGCAGACAAAATCATATTGCTACTGCCATGCTCCTATCAGATGTAAAAATTAATGTATCAATAAAACAAAAATATGCAATTTTTAGAAATGCTGAAATCACCATTTTGGGAAAGTTTGGGAAGATCAAAAATAAGTCAACATGCTATCTTGTAAAAGGCTAAATAAGATGCCTTAAGTAATTACCGGCCTGTTTCCATGAGATTGATCCCAGCAAATTATGGGGTCAAATAATAACTAAGTGTTGACAAATTCAATAAATGTGGGCTTTGGAAACTAGTTCATTTCAAAGTAATTTATTTCCTAACAAGATTTGTAGTTGGGAAAGGTAACCACTGATGACCCATATTTATACAAGGTACTGTGGTTCAATAGGTCTGTAACCATCACTGCTTAGTGTGACACCCATCCTGCTGATTAAATAAGTGCTATCTGATGGTCTCAAATGTAATTGGGAAAGAGGGAAGGATTTGCATTGATGCCTTACAGGACAGAAGCTTTGCAAAGATCACCTAGCAGACACTCAGATATGTCACAGGTACCTCATGTTCAGTCCATCACTAAGAGACCACACCAGACAAGACTGTCACAGATGCATAAACATAAAGGAAAAATAAATTATTGCACTTAAAGGCTTTAGAAGAGAGTTTGAACATAACTTTACTTTCTTTGGTAGGTACAGAGGATGCTAATCTACAGGAAAGATAGTTTGGATGAGGTCTAATCCTTAAAGATGAAAATGAGAATTTCAGCTGGGGAAAGCAAGAAAGATGAAGAAAATTAATGCAAAATGTGAGAACTTCTAGAATAAATTAAAAAATATTCCTCATTTACCTAAGTTTCTTCTATCTTTCCTGAAAAGGAAACTAGATGTAGCAAAAAGTGAAATGTCATCAGTTTTCATAAGTTTGCATTTTCATTTTCAAGTTTTTTTTTTTTTTTATGAAATGGGATGATACTTCAACTTCTTTAAACTTGTAGGTGAGCACTTAAAAAAAAAAAAACTATAATTAAATGAGATTAAATGGGAAAAGGTAGAAAATGCTATAGAACTCTGGCTTTAGACTCAGCTATGTAACCCCACATTTATTACTCAAAGCAAACTGATGAGTATGGCAAATCCATTATAACAATTAGTCAATTATTTTATAGTTTTTTGAAATGTAAAAATTGATATTATTAAGGATTAATTCAGCAAGCCTTAAGCTTAATTACTTACATTTACAGGCCCCATTAATAATTTTGTAAGTGGACATTATTAAAATGTGCTCCTAAAGAAGCGAGGAAAATTTAATTGCAAAGAAATATACCATTTACTATGAAATAGGTTTTTTTTTTACCAAATTAATTACTTGCATTATATAAGGTGGCTGCTTAGGGAATTTTATGTCTCAGGCATATCTATTGCAAGAGATGAATTCTTTCCTGTAACTGGTCTTTAGAGGGTAGATAAGTTGCAAATTAAAAAAAAAAAGTGAAATCCAAAGCTATTAGCATTTTCTTTTTCATGTTCAACAAGTTTGCTAGACTTGAACAAACAAGTGAGAAGTTACAGGTTCCTGCATGAGTAATTGTACCTATCAATACCCATTACAAAAAGTCATTATAAGGAAAAGCCAGTAAAACAGAGGGCATCATTATATCACTGAATGTATCTGTGATTCACTGACAAGTTGAATATTGTGAGCAGTTCTAGCTGTGTGCTGTCAGAGAGTGTTTGCGGGGAGGGTGACATGCTGAGAGAGGAGCAGGGGAGCTGTGTGTGGAACAGGCTCCATGTAAGAACAACCAGGTCAGGTCCTCGGGCTGGAGAAGCAATGATTAATTGGGGTTTATGAAACTGTGTGACAGGGACTGCTGGGTAGGGAAAAGCCTCTTTCTTCCGTAAGAGAAACAAAATTCACAAATTCAAAACTAGGAAAAAACAAAGGTTCATGGGTGACAGACTGGTGGAAATCTATGTCAAAGGAACTTATGCATGTTATATACTTATATGGATCTGGAACAAATCCATGAACGTTAAAACAATTAAGAATTACTGAATGCATAGAAACATTATGCAGCTCAAGAAGCCAATAAACAAGAATTAGAAGACTGGAAAAACATTCATGGGAAGAATTCATGAATCAATTGGTATTCAATCATTGTCATTATTAAACAGGGAGTTTCTCTTTTTAACTTACATGACCATTCAAATCCTTTATGTTTATGAAGGAGGAAAGCAACAAAAAAGATTACAGATTCAAGTCTAAGAACAGAGAAGAAACTCACTACATAAAACCATACCATCCTTAATTCTACATGGACTGAATTTGCTGACTTCCAAGAATCATCAAAGCACTGCTTTGCATGCCTTCTGTGATACCTTTCCTTCCACTCAGCTTTTACTTCTGATTGGAGTCCTTGTTCTCCCACCTCTCCCAGTGAGTTAGCTGATTTCCAGTTTCAGATTCATAATATATATCTTTTCCATCCAGACTTTTATTCTATCAGAAGCACCAAGAAACCAAAATCAAAATGGAGTTTAGTCAAACTTTTTACTTGTTTATTTAAACAATCACAATAAAGATATTTAACATTTCAGAAATGTGTTGCATATCTGCTTTTCATAGGCCTCTTAAAGTAACAAAACTGCAATACTGCATCCTGCATAGGCATAGTCATTATTCCAAAATTTAACTAGGAACAGGAGATATGGCAATATTCAAGAAAAAAAAGTTTCTTCTCTGTGGAGGTCACAAAACTCCTAAGGGCAACTGTAATTATTTCTTTAGAATGAGCAGATACAGACTGTGTAAGCTATAAAGGTTTCAAAAGTGCAGTTACAGCAGTTTGCGTCAATAATCTATGGATCACAAATTGCCCAAAGGGAATGTTAACTCCATAAAGTGAGTTCTACTTTTTTGAAAAAACATATAAATGAATTTGGCATCCTTAAAGGGCTTCTCAGGCAAAATTTCAGCTTCCTGTCTGTGCCCAGAGTAATTATGTACATGGCAATACAGCCAGGCTTGGAACCAGATGAAGAGCAGAAAAAAAATGTTGGCGATCTGTAAAATTTACAGTAGACCTGTTGATATATTTGCTGCTTTGTATGATTCTGCCTATGAAGTGGTCTCATAGGACACAAATATTAATCTAAGAGAAACCCATAGATTAAAAGCCTTTGTTGCCTGTTCCTGTTTTCCTCTGACAGAAGGGGAGGAAAGGGGAGAGGAAATAAGTCCAAATCTTGGAAATAAACCTAAATCACCAGAGAAACATTTACTATTAATTAAACTGGGCATCCTGATCAATTTCTATTTGGCTAAATATATTTTGACCTTGCCCAGACATCAGACAGATGCCACACATATTCCACAGGCTACTAATAGGAAGGAAAGGGCTGGAGGCACAGGGTCTCTCCCCTGCAGAGGCCAAATCTGTCCTTGCAGGCAGGACCTTCCTGGGCCCAGCCTAATTTGAATAGGAAAAAGATAAGTGAGCCACATTTGTTTAGAAGCAAATTCCACACACTCTTGGAATGCTGGAGGCCAAAGTGGAGCAGCAGAGATCTGTGAGCCCAGGATTCAACCCAGCCAAGGTCATCCAGGGTGCAGGCTTGCTATGACACAGAGTGTACACTCAGTTGTAATCCAAGCAAGGGATTAGTGCCACAGTCCACACTGTGATTAAAGACTTTACATAAAGACCTTGCTGCTTATAAATTTGCAATGTCTTAAGTATCTGAGATGAAACTTCCCATATGTTTTATTTTCAAGGTGAACTAAATTCATTGATAAAAATGCTCACTGTTTTCTGAAAATAATTTTAGAAATAACTAAAAAAATTGTTATAAAATTAAAAGTATTTGATTAAGAATTAAAATGAATGAGCAGTATAATTCAAATTATATTTGTACGTAGGATCTCACTCCTAATGTTTTCAGACTTCATTTCCTTAGCCTGGGTTTTGTGTGTTGTTACTCTATATCACAGTAGCCATTGTAAGGTACAGATACAGAAACAAGAAGAAATTTTCTGGCTAAAAGCCAGCAGCAGATATTCCACCAACATGGAGCCAAGGTAATTTTTTTCCTCTCAATCTAGAAAAGACTGTCAGTGGAATAAATAAAAGAAAGTAAATACTACAACTACAGGTGTAGAGAATCAAAATTCAAAATTATTAATTGTTTAAAAAAATGCTTATTAAAATGATCGCTCTCTACTGTTATCTTTATTTTAACATGAAGATAAAGAAAGAGAAAATAATTTTAAAACAACTAAGAAAGGAAAAATTTAAAAGTTGGTAAGATTTATTAAAGTGCTTGCTGTATTCCAGTTTACTCCTTTTAAAACTCCTTCCTGAAAGATAAAAAGATTTACACATAATATTATATTATTAAGCAATTCTTATTAATTGATACAGAATGAAGAAATACCCAGAAATATATAATGTGATTTTCAAACAGAGACATTAATTTATTGAGCTGGACAAATAATAGAATATAGATATTTCTAGCTCACAGGAAACTTATATAGACCAAAAAGCTAAGTTCATGGTCCAGGAGGTGTTTATCCTTCTATTGTCTTTGAAAATAAAAAGCAGGAATACAAACATCATTCACAGGATACTGTGTTTTGAAAATCAAATCCTCAAAGCTGTCCTTTAGGAATACCTTTAATACATATGTCCAATATGAACAATCCTTTCTCTTTTGCTCAAAAATATTTTCTTTACTTGCAACCCTTTTTAGGCAATAATCATCAAAAAGCTTTTAATTGTCTCTTCTCTACAGCTGGATGGCTCTAGCTTTCTAACACAGTCAACTTAATGAGAGAGAAAAGCAATTAAAATTGGGATTAATGACCTTGGCCTGATCTATGTCTGGAGGGAACTGAATCACAGCAAGGTATGTGGATTGTGTTCCTCCAGACATGGTTCGCATGGCTAAATGAATTCTGTTGTCATCCTCAGGACTGTCCCAGTCATTGGGACCTCATTTTTAAACAGTAAAGTGCTAAATTATCTTTTCTGTTTCCAAAATTAAGCTCTAAAGAAGAGATGGCAAGCCAGTGGAATTAAAGAGGATGTAATGAATGCCAAGAAAAATGATGAAAAGGATGGAGGCTGGAATTCTTCACACTGGAAAAAAAGAAAGGAGATACATGATTGAGGGCAAGAGGAATGCCCTGGAAGCCTTGGCCAAGTCTGTCTGCTATTTACTGAAGTAGCACCTCCTCTTCAGCTGCTGAAGGAAAAACACTGTTCTGGGCAAAGCATTCATCTCACCAAGAAAGGCATTCCTTTTGTTACTGTTTTCAGCTACGGTTTTAAGTTATCCTGAAGTATATATTTAATCAATGGAAAGATGGAGGTGAGTCAGGTCTGATGAGTTTTGTAAGGTTTTTTTCTATTATAAATATGTGGAAATTAAAGTGAGGCCATTTTTTATGGATAATTAAATTAGCCATATTAAGCTGTATATACTGTCTTTGATTTTTTTCAACTTTAAGAAAGGCTGGTATTCCAATCAATCTCCATCCTCCTGCTACCCCTGTACAATGTACAATGTATTGCAAAGTATGCACTGGGCTGCTAGAGGTGATCAATTCTTCTTTGAGAGAAAAACCTAGCAGCTCCCACCCAGTTCATTAAAGTGGTGAGAAGTATGATATGGCTGTGAGGGCTGCTGGGATGGTGGGAGGTTGATGAGGAAATATGGCTTTTGCCCTAGGCAAGCCTAGCAGATATGGGCTCTGCATGGGCAATTACACTGCTAAGTACACAGGCCATGCAGTCACAGGCTGGCTAGCTTTCCTTTTTTCTATTAAACTAGACAATTTTAACATTTTGTTTATGTGTTTTGTCTATTTTGTAAATGTTTTTATCATTTTGGAAAATTTATTTTCTAAATATCTTAGTTTTATTGTTCCTGCACTTAGGAGCTCCTACATTTAGTCAGAACATTCTTGATGCTGGCTGCACCAAACCAAACACTAGTTTTAAGAAAATGTTATTTCTTTGCTAGGCTGTTATGGGGAAGTACTGAATCCCTGAGACACCCATGCTGAGGGAAGCAGAATGACTGCATTCCCACAAATATTCCCAGTTAAAGCAATTGTTTTATAACTACTAAATACAAAAAAAGGGTAAACTTTAGGTATAAGATGGGCAGGAGAATGGAATGGAATGGAATGGAATGGATCCAGCCATAGAAGAGGAAAGACCTGAGTGGGGGAGGAAAAACAGGGACATGTAGCATGACACACTTCTTGTGGCACACAGGACATTTTGTTACAGCACAAAGTCAGAGAATGCATAAAATGAGGACAGATATCAGACATCTGCCTTGGAAGGAAGCCAAATGGACAAGATACTGCAGCAGACAGCACCTGACTTATTTACAGCAACAACAAAGGAAATACCTATTTCCTTGAAGAGCTTAGAAGCAGGATTTGCTCAGACTTCAAAGAAATCTGGCCAAAAGGCCAAGGTCTCAAAGAAAATGAAAAGATGCCAAATGCTCAACAGGCTGGAGTCATTCAGAAATTGTCTTTTGAAGGTGGAGCTGGACCAGGGCCACTTCACAGGATTGCTGTCAATATAAACTCTAAATACACAAACTCATGGAAAAAGGGGGAATAAGTTCACCTTTTTTTTTTTTTTTTAATTTTATTTTTTTATTTATGGGCATTCTAAATTAAATTGTTAGTACTAATGTTTTTCTGTATATCAAAGTGAGTGATGACTAGGTTTTCCTCTTCTTGCTGTTAGGTCTGTCCTTATCTAAGGAGAATGTCTGTCTTCCATGACATCTCAAGGACAAATAATAATGCAAATGAGCTATTTTCTCCATGGACTCTCACCCTTCATAACCTTATTCTTTTAGTGCTATGGGAAAGGCACTTTAGGAATAGGTAAAATGGATTGATCAACACATCACTGAGCAGACCTCTGGCATTCTGAAAATGTGTCTCCAGGTCTTGTATATAATAGACAAGGCATACAGCATACTACAGTTTAGCAGCAATCTTTATTCTCACTGAAGCAGAGGTAATTAAAATCACCACATGTACAGAGGCACTTGCAATCTTATATCAAAGGCAAACTTGGGACAAACATAACCCACACCCCTCCCAGCACCAAATTATTATGAAATTAGACAAAAATGTGGAAATAATTATCACTTTGATGCTGCAGGTGCTATACTGCTCAAAACATTTATAACTACTAGGTACTCATTCTTATGTACGGCTGGTAGGTGAAGGATATTGCTGCTTCACTGACTTATCCTCTCTGTCTGACTGAAGCTGTATTTTTTAACAAGTATTTTATTTGTCTTTTCATACATACAACATTTTTTTGATTGCTTAATTTTTTTTTTTGCTGCTTTCTAATTATTATTGAATCACTTGATTTCTAGGCATCTATTGTGATGATACAGATGTAAAATAGGTTTAATACAAAGAACAGAATTTTGTTCAGGTTAACACACACTGACTTAAGTTTGTTGACAATCCCCATGAAAAAGCAGAATCAGAGCAACTAATCTGGGAAAATTCTGGTCCATTGTAAGTAGTCTAAAGTAAGTAGTCTAAAAAAGTAATACATTTCCTCCACCTTGATAGATGATAAGTAAAATATGTGAACTATGAAAAAGATAAAGATAATTTTTTTAATGCTTCTGAGACCCATTCTTAAAAATGTTGTTGTTATTTTTAAAAGTTTAAGCAGCATATTTACTAAATTGTTAAAAAACCACTTGTGATAGACCAAGACACATTTTTATGTTCTACAAACCAGGTATGCATGCACTGAAAATCAATCTTTTATAGTTACAAGCCAATCTTTTGCCTTTCCTAGCTCTGTTTACTCATACGTAATCGCAGAATCTCTCTTGCAGTATTCCTATTAAATATTAACTCATAAATAATGGCTGTATTGTAGAAAAACGACAACATTAACTAAAACAGAACATACTAAACAAAGGGAAAGAGCAGAAATTATTCAATACTAAATAAGCTACAAAACTTTAGTCAGTATCATATAGAAGGAAGGAAATAAAAGATAAATATAATATTCAATTAATTCTTCTGTCATTTACTGAGTCGAGACCTCCTAAACCATAACAATCTCACAATTACTGATGTGCCTGCTAGGATTTTTAGCTAGTTTTCTTTCACTATACCTGCAGGTTATGTAACTCAGGGCCTTACAAATATTAATGGCTTTTAAAAACAAATCAAGGTGTAAAGACAATGTTTACATGAGGCATTTTAAGATGCTCTTTAAGAAGTACTTTTCTGACCTTCATCTACTTACACTAACAGAAGACAGAACTACAAATTTAATCAAACTGTATCTTCTTCACCACAAATCAATTATTAGTGGCCCACATGGCAAATCTGGGTTCATCAATTCTGCCCATACAACTTATGTTTTGCAGGAGGAAAAAGGAAACGGCTTTTGGGGAAACAAAAAGTATTTTCATATCTTTTTGGAAAGGATGGGGAAATGAGCAAATGTAGAGTAGCATTTTACAACTGGGATTCCTTGGAGAATGACTAAGGCTTGGCTGCCTTGACAACTCAAAAATTTGATTTGTTTTTGAAATAATAAGGCAACTGTTAACATTTTGAAACAAAGCAATTTGTAGGGTGCTATGCCTTTAGCTACTCTTAAAAACCAAAAGGACAAAAGTATGGGCCTAGGTGACAGAGCTCCAGCTGCAGTCCAGAACACTGGCAATAGCAGTGCCCAAAGAGTCTCAGGGCACTCAGCAAAGACAGAAGCCACACTGGTTCAACAAACCATTAATCTTAGAAGGGAAGAAAAGGTATAAGAAAAAAATAAACAAGAAATAAAAGAAACAAATTAAATCCATTCCTCAGGAGAAAAAAAACTCCAATCATATTTATGCATTAGGTGATTCACCTTTTAGAAGAAAAATAATATTTATATTATTAATAGAGAACACTTATTTTTTGTCAAAATCCTATCCAGCAACCCTTATATATGTATGTCACATGATAAGGAGGGTTAAATTTGTTATTCTAATAGCAATACTAGAAAACATTGTGTGGCCCAATTTTAAAATAGCTGTATCCAGATAATTTGCATACAAAACTTTTAATACTGCCTGACAAGCTCTGTGAACCATTAACATGGCTTTCCAGCAACTCCTGAAATGCTATCAGTTCAAGAACAGTGACAGAGAGGAAATGTGTTTAAGTTTGTAAAGAGAGCAATTATAGACCTGTCAGCCAGATGCCAATCATATGCAAAATAATGGAACGGATACTACAGGACTATAATCAAGAATTAAAGAAGGATAACATAATTAATGTCAGTCAACTTGGATTTGTGAAAAATATACTTAATCAAGATAATTTTATTTCTAGTTTAAATAAAGATTATAAGTTAAGCTGACGGTGGTGGTAAAGTAGATTTCTATTTGGTATGTAACTTTAATAACATGTTAATTTTTATTATAAAATTGCAACAAAACTTTTTAACTGAACATCAAATGGATTGGTGCACTTACTAGTTCTCAAAGGTTTGGTTTGAGGAAATGATCATCATGTACTTGTGCGTCTAGCAGAAATCTAGGAGAGCTTTTCGTTGTTATAAACATTTGAACAATTCTGTTTATTATTTCTAGGAAAGTAATTTCTAATACAATTTAACACAAAGACTGGGGATTATTTAGATAATGAGAAACACTCATAAATCACTGATAAAACAATCTGAATTGTACTGTAGGGTGGGCATTATCATTTTTGATGGGGCCAAATGTAGTTACCCATCTAGGTACAAAGAAAGAGGTTTCTTCTCCTATGGCAGCAGCATCCGCTTCAGATATTTTCTGACAACACAATTATCCTTTAACACATAAATAGTTCAATAATGGAGAAAGGAAAGCTATGCTACTAGCCTTTTCTCATTAAAAGATCATTAATAGAGAACAATGCAAATTTGAGAGGAAAATTGATTAGCCGGCAAATAAAGGAAAACAATAAAAGAAATGCAATTCCTTCAATCAAAACCTTAGAGAACTTAGCCTGGCTTACAAAGACCTTAAGCGGGGGATACTAATCAGGTAAGAAATTATAGAAAAGAGAATCTTTCCAGATGGTCTTTTCAGTCCTGGCAACAGGATGCTGAGTAATTCAGAATAGATACAATTCCACTTTTTTAAAGATCTAAAACTAGGCAGCTGTGAGGGTAACCATCCAATGTAAAGTATCCTGCATCACTAACAGTCTTCTAAATGAAGATCTTTCATTTTTATTGGTACTTGTATTATAGTGGAAAGAAGAATTAAATCCAGAAAGTACTAGAAACTCAAGTGCAGGTGAAACATGAAAGACTTTTTTTTCCCTTCTGTTTAGATACAGATGCTTTTTTGAATATTTTGAAAAGCCTAGAATGAACTTTGGATATGTTCAATTTACTTCATTAACTTTATACTTTTTCTGTTAAGAATGCTATAATATGTTCCTTATGAAGTATTCTCTAAGATTTAGAACATTCTCAATAAAACAAACTAGATAACATAAGGGTGAAAATACATTTTAAAATGCTACATTTTTATGAAAAAGCTACTTCACTAGAAATAAAAAAAACATTTTTCTCAAATTGTAGTTTGTTAAAGTAATGAAATCATAGAATAGTTTGGTTTGGAAGGGACCTTTAAAAGTCATCTACTCCAACCCTCGTACAATGAGCAGTGACATCGTCAACCAGATCTGTTTGCTTGTTGGACCTAAGTTGAATGTTTCCTAGGATGAGGCATCTACCATCTCTCTGGCTAACCTGCTCCAGTGTTTCAACACCCTCATAGTTAAAAACTTCTAATCTACATTAGCCCTCTTTGAATTTAACATCCTTACCCTGACAAAAAGAAGTTTGTCTTTGATCTTTAAGACCTGCCAGAGACTGAAATATTACAGTTTATGACTTAAACATTTTCATGAACGACTTTTGCTTATTATAGCAGAACTGTGTTACAAAAGCTGCAGAGATGACCACCAGACCCTGAATGGGGTTCTGAGAGGCCCTACATTGTTCCCTAATGAAGATAAAATAAAGTAATAATCCCCCAGGATAGGGACATTCTCAAAGCACAAGCTTAGCTCCTTCAAGGGAGGAGATGACAGCCCCAGGGCTATCAACTGCCAGGCTCGAACAGACCCTCACACCAAAGGGTGGAGAGGAGAGAAGCTTTGGGTGTGTGTTGGGAAGCCTCTGGTGAGAGGCAGTGCCTGCCCATCCTCTGATGTGCAGACCAGCCCAACTGTGGGGCTTTTCTCCCGAGCAAAAGCTTATCCGCAGCAGAAGGGAGTGATACGGCCCATCACAGAGTCCCCAAAGGGGTCCCCAGACCCTGCAGCAGAGCACCAAAGATGATGCAACAGACCCTGTGTGTTGCAAGTTGTGGACAGTGTTGCAAGGGTGTTCACACCTGGCCCAAAGTGCATATTGATCCATGGAATCCTTCATTGTGTGGCAGTGTGGCATGGTGTGGTGTGGCCACGGTGGGGGACCCTCACCACCAAGAAGACCAGATGGAGAGGAGCAACAAGACGATGTTGGGACCCCCAGATGGGTGATATGCTTCCACCTAATCCCCGTCCCCCCATCCCCCACACACATCTCTATTTCTATTTCTTTTTTTTTTCTGCTTTCTTTCTCTTTGCCTCTTTTACTATTAAATAAAATGCATAAATTTTTTGGTACCAACATCTAACCTCATTTGGTTTTCATCTCATTTTTGGATATATTTTGAACCTCCTAAGTTCCTTCTGGTTTATACACAGAGATTTAACTTGGATCCTAACAACAGACTGTTCAAGTACTAAAAGGCTACACTGAGGTCTCCCTGGAGCCTTCTTTTCTCCAGGCTGAATACCTCCAGCTCACTCAGTCTTTTCTCACAGGAAAGATGCTCCAGCCCTCTGATCATCTTCATGGCATTTCTCTGGACCTCTCTCAAACAGGTCTGTGTCCTCCCTGTGCTGGGGCCCAGAGCTGGCTGCAGCACCTCAGGTGGGCTCTCAGCAGAGCAGAGCAGAGGGACAGAATCTCCTCCCTCCCCTGCTGCCCACGGGGCTCTGGGTGCAGCCCAGGACACGTTTGGCTCTCTGGGCTGTGAGTGCCATGGCTGGGTCATGTCCAGCCTCTCACCCACAGCACCACCAAGTCCTTCTCGGCAGGGCTGCTCTCAAATTGTTCATCCCCAATCTCACATCAACAGGGATGAACCTGTTGGAAGCCTTTCAAGAAAATCTTAAAATAGGCCATTTTCCATTGGACTGGTAAACGCATCAAAGCTCTGTATACCAAGAATATAATATAGGGAATAAGAAGTGGGACAAACTTCCTTAATCACTACTTATTAAAAATATGCTCAAATTACGAGGCTAAGAAAGTAAAGAGAATATAATTCTAACATTGTATCTTTCTGGTAAGCAAAATACAGAAGATACTTGTCTTAAATGACAGAAGTTTCCAACATAAAGAAAAATAGCAATTTTTCTGTTATGTATTTCACAATATCCTCTTTTTCCTCTGTAAGCTATGGCCTAGAAACATGCAGTTTGTCATTATTTATAGAAATAAGAAAAAATGTATTATTTTCTTTTTATTAGACAGACATCAATAATCTCAGATGCTTTCTTTCACAGACTAAAATATGGTTTTCCTCAGTTTCTGCTGTGACTTCTGAAGATCAGACAGGAAGATACTAACTTCCTTTTCTGCTTTATTTTTAAGGCAAGAAGTATATATGTGTCTGCTACTTTTGTCAGCTTGGCTACAACAGAAATATTTGGCCAACAGCATCACGAAGTGCCAAGAAATAAAAGATTAAACTGCATTTTCAAGCACAATTGGAGAAGAACTTGGTATATTGCAGCAATCTGACCAGTCAGAGTCAACAAACAGCTTCAAAGTGGAAAGTTGTCCTAAGAGGCAAAATATTAACTCCAGTCACTGCTGCCCCTTTGCCCATCACTACTTTGGTTAAGAAGGGTGTAGAGCAGATACAACACCGAGCATGAATATTGCACAGGACACTTTTTGATGGGAAAAAAAACCAAGCTGATCGTTTACACTTGAATTTATGGAAATATATAAGCATGTGGGTACATTTGTAATCTGTGGTCATTTTTCCAGTAAAAAGGCATTGGCNAAAGGGATAAAAGACAGGAAGGAAGGAAGATTTGCTAGATTTTGTCCTTCCAAGAAAAAGGACCTATCAGAATCAAATACCCATGAGGAAAAGTGGGCGACTACTCCAGTTAAAAAACTGTCAGACCAGGCTAGTTAATTAGGGTGTCTGTTCAGGCACCTCACTCTGTCACGTAGACATTTATTTAGAAGATGAACGTTAGTGACTGTCCTGTGATGTATTTAGTTTGAGACTTCAGGCCTTTTTCAGGGTAAGGTAAACTTTGTCCTTCTAATTCAGGTCATTACTGTACAATATAAAATCTTTGAGATTGGCTCAGGAGAATGCATTTTACAGATGGTGAAATTTCTGCCAACGTTTTCTTTTAGGTAGTAATTCCCTTTTAGCATCTGCTGTCAGCAGTTCTTCCAGTGACAAGAAAGGCTTTTGTCACAGCGATTTCATTTGCACAGTAAGTACTTGTGGAAAATAGAAATCTGTTCTGTTACAGAAATCCTCACCAATGAAATAAATAAATATCATCTTTTTTTTTTTTTTTACTTACAGCTATTGACCAACCTCCAACAGATGGCAAATAGAATACAAGCTTATCTTACAAACCAGGACATTATGTTCTCTTTCTGCATTTCCACACTCTCAAAGTGCTACCAAAGAATGCTTCCAAATGAGGTGCACTAATGATTGAGCAGCAAGTGGTGCAGTCTCTGCTGTGTTTCACAGATCCCACTGATTACGGATTTGTTTGGCCTTCTGCATTCATACATACACTATGAAATCCTAGTTGCATTTTATCAGCTCATACTTCAGTACCAAGGAAATTCTTCTTTACCTTTTATATTACTCATTGTATTAGGGTGTGTTATTTTACCCTGTGTAGCTGTCACAGACGTTTAGCAGATGACTCTGATCCCTGACTGGGTTAAATGCCTAATTTTGCAATCTTTTCACTTTATAGGAAAACACAATTCCTGTTAAAACTCAGGTTATGAAACCATGTCAATTAGGGAGCATATTTGTTTCTATTGAACACAACTGCCAGGAAATAATACATAACACTAACTGGTTTGAATTTATGGCAATTACATTATATCTTCAGCTTAAATGGTTATTGATAGGACATTCAACACCTGCAGTCAAGTGTAGCTGAAACAAGATGCTTGGGAATCAGACATGCTTGTATTTTGTTTTCACCTTTTCAGTCAGGAATCTGTAAGTATCTAAATTCACTGCTTATATGGTTGGCTTCAGTACTAGTAAAGGCAGCTAGTGACGGGTACATTTAATTTATCCTCATTACAACAAATGCCTTTTGATGTTCAGGAAATGTGTGCATGCATCCATCATACCTTGACATGTAAATGATCACTTGAAAATTAATATTTCTTGCTTCTGGCTTGCTATCACATAAATACTTTAATATTTATTATTCTGATGAAGTATACATCATTCTATAATATTTCCAGTGAATGTGTTCCATTGCATATGGAGCTCAAATTGATCAAAAGTCTTAATATTTTATTAATATATTTATTTGAGCTGAAAAGTGGAAATAAAGAAAAATGACTAATTTTTCTGTGCTTTATCATAGCTTATGATGGACCTCCAATCTGAAATTCTAGTTAATATATTTTGTTCATATGAATAGGAATCATACTTGAAATGCAGTTCTATTCCAGTTTTTCTTCATCTATCTCAATCATACTTGAAATGCAGTTCTATTCCAGTTTTTCTTCATCTATCTCAGAACTCTAAAATACCTGCAAATAGCTTTACCTTAAGGGCTGCTGTCTCACAAGCATGGATCAGTATTCACTCCGCAGATGATCACTTAATGACAATAGGACAAGAACAAGTTCCAGGATGAAGATGCAACACATGACCTCATTCAGTTACTCCAGCACAGCTCCTTGAATCCAGCCAGCTGAGTGTGCATGTGGTGCAAACACAAGCCTTTGTTCTCTAAGGTGTAGATATGGAGTGCAAGTGCAATCTATTTGGTTTGAATTATGCTTTCCAGTTATTTTTGAGACTACGTGATTTCGCACTTTTGCACGTCCCTACATGTCCTGGTAGTGTGAACATGTGGTTCAGCTACCCCCTGCTGCTGTTCTTCTGGAATTGCTGAAATCTGCTATCTATATGAATGCTCCGTGCTGAAGAGAGTGCTCTCTCTTTAACACAGGATGTAAAGCACATTAGTTTAATTCCTGATAACAGAGCACTTAGATTTTTTGATATTCATGTATCTTAGGACAGTGAAGAAAATTATCCCTTTAGGAATGACAGTATTGCCATGTATTGGTGTTCTCTGCTATTGCACACAGGCAAGCCAATACCTATAGTGCATCAAACTTAATCTGCGTGTAGCAGGGAGAATGCTTTCCTCCAAATACAGCTCCTACACCTCATACACCTGCTCTGGATCACGGCTTTGGATTCTTAGTTCCTGTTGCATTCATTCACCATTCAGGGACATACTTCTCCTTCTCTATACATTTTCATGAATTTGCCAAAGGACTGTCTTTGTCCATTACTGCCCAAATTCTATGGGATCAGCCCAGCAGTGAACTACATTAGCAAATTCACTACTGCACTGTTTTATAACATGGCTGATAATATACCTTTGTAACTGCACAATCCTAAGTCATTTTACATAGAACTCCTGTCTGCACTACTTATCACTTTTATGCAGCCTTTTGAGACCAAATCCTTCTAACTTAAAAAGGACTACGAGCTTTATACTTATATCCTGTAATGAAACCTCCTTTAAATTATTTTGCCCTCAAAATTTACTGTCTTGCTTTATTTGGCACATCTCTAGTGTGTGAATCTGATTAAATATTGGCAGTTTTCTTAGCTAAGTGGTCTGCTGGCATTTTTGAAATATTTTACATAGCTACAGCTGAAATCTTAATTAGACTGACCAAAAGAGAAAGGAAGAGCCAATATATGTAAAGAGAACAGTGACCCTTGCCTGCATGTTTTCCCAGGCCTGTGAAACCTTAATGCAAAAATTTCAAGGAAAAAAAAGAGGAATACGCGGTCACCTATAAACGCCAAACTAGGAAAGATACAAGCTAGAAAAAATATCTGGAAGACCCTCAAAGACGGTGATGAACAGCAACACCCGGAAAACGCATCTGAGAATACAACATTCTTCCGCTTCCAGAATGTAACAAGGCGCAGCTCTGACGGCCACAAGAGGCAGATGCGAGCAGAGCAGCCGGCACCCCACACAAGGCACCGCCGGTAGCGCCAGCAGAGCCGCAGCCCGCCCCGCCCGCGCTCCCGCCGCCTCACGGCGCGGCCGCCGCCCCCTCGCGGCGCTTCCGGGGCGCCGCGCCCGCCCCGCCCGGGCTGCGCGGAGCTGGGCTGAGCTGCTGCCAGCGCCATGGCCCTCGCTGGCAGGGC